AAGTCTATGACTATGAATAAGCCACAGCAGGTCTTTTATTTATCTTTTGGAAATCCAATAAATATAATTATGAAACTATAAGTGTCGTGATTGCATTACGCTGTCTAAATAGAGGTCAAGATATCGTGCTGTTTAAATCGTAACTGTTACACGCTTACGGACATTGTGACCTAGTGCAGCGCGTTCAGATCGACAATGCTAACTTCCACCTTTACAGCAGCACAACGCACGCAAGCAGCAAAGTTTAGCTAATAGTTTAAAGAAAATCGCGTACAATCTTAATTTTTTTTAAATATTTGTACATTTTTTAACAGATAACGCAATATTATGTTTGATTGGAAAAGTAATTTGAAAGTAGTCAAACAGTGGCATAATCATCGATCGACAGGACCAAAAACATAAAAAATCTTGTTAAATATTCGGTAAATATTAAAATAATTACATTGCAATTGAAATTTTAATTAGAGAGCAATGTTCAATGTCTTCATAACACCACACCTGTGTATTAAGTAATCGCCCACCCACAGCCATGTCCCAACTCTCACAAATCAAAGCACAAAATTACGATACCGCACCGCGCCTGCACTGACCAACATCGGCACATCAATCATTCAGCTAAATCCTGTGGAGATGTCGACTTGCTTTTAATCATTCTTGACCACCCTGTATACTCGCATTTAATACTAATGATGTCTATCCAGCATGACAGATTATAGAAATTTAATATTTAATATCTGTTTTGGATTTGTAAAGACTTTAATTCTTTACTTTTTACTATTTTTTCCTATAAGATATGCGTTCAAAGGGAATCATCTATGGGTTATCAAAGATTTTATTATATTTCATGTGTAAAAACAGATTCCAAATTTAAAAACTTAATGAAATATTATCGATAAAGACTTTTCTAAAAATATCTTCGACCAGTCCCAATTAGGCACTTACTTATGAAGACCATGAATACCAATAATAATTTAAAGCTTCAATAACCAAAGTTAACCTAACTTTTCGTGTAATCAATCTAGCCCAGTAAATGGATAGTATAAACTTCGTCCTCAGAGGCTCACAGGGACCGACTCTGTATATAAATACATGATAACATAGTACATAGCTTAGTTAAAAGTTTCCATCGCGACGCGCCTGGAGAGCGGGACGTTCAAAGTTAATTAGCCAACCTCCGAGGTCGAGAGGAACAAGATATAAGATGTTAGCATATTTTATAAAATACACATAAAAATATTATCCAAAACTAATGAAGCCAGTATCACTTTTATAGCAATAATTTTTCAAATAAATACTTAATAAGTTGCAAGACTGTAATTTTTTCTTTCACTTCCCCCTGTTTCACCTCTCTCTCAGATGTATTGATTTTAATATAAGTATACTTTTTCAACTAGCCTCTTTTAACTTGTACCACAACCTAACGCTGAATATCGGCCGTCTCCCGGTAACTTGGCAAATAAGGATGTGCGCGTTACTGGCGGTGGCATATACTCTATGTATTAATATGTCACGTACATGTATGATGAATTCTGCATAGTTGATTAATAGTGTTATTTTTAAATAACTTTATAAATGCACAAAATGCTGAATATAAAGGTACATTAAATTGAGCTTCATGAATTATAGTGGCAATGGGCCGGCCATGTAACCCGAAGAACCGATAACCGTTGGAGTAGACGAGTTCTTGAGTGGAGACCACGGGTCGGCAAACTAGCACAAGCCAAAAGCTTAGTTGGAATGGTAAAAGAAATATTAGTAAATTTACAAAAAAATTCTGCTAATATTTAAAAAAAAAACAACACTATGCAAATGTATACCAACACTAATACATTTGCAAAAAACTTTTTGTATTCAACAATTTGTCAATGAATTCTCTGGAGTGTTTGCAACAACCAAATTGAGTTGAATCTCTCACAGCCGGGGCAGTTTGTCAATGTCGAATCGATCCGATCTAACATCTATCAATACTTACCGATTACGGTCATCCTTCACCTTGCCTAACACTGATACAGATTAAGGAATTTTATAAATGAATCAACGACCCGCGATTTTGTATTACACAATCCCGCAAATATACTCCTTGATATAGCTACATCATTAGTGTAGGTAACTGCTAAAACCTTGACAGTTTCTTTGCTTTTCATTGTAAACGATAGAAGAATTCAACAATATCATATTAAAACACAAAGACTCAAATATAAAAGTGCCTAACACGCTAGTTTAGAAAAATACTCTGATATTGTCTGGGAATCCAGTTGTTGTTTATTAAAGAGTAAAGAGAATGGACTTGACTCATACTTTCTACGAAACCGCAAAGGATACTAACATTCGCACACAACTATCTTTATAGACATTTTTGAAAAGAATTTTAAATATGTATTATAACTAAATAACACATTTTGTTATTTCAGATAACCGCATAAATAATATAAGCAAATGTTTTAAACTTGATACATGGATTCAAGAAAAAAAAACATAATAATAACAAGTCTTTTTAAGTTTATACAAAATAAAAGTACCGTACACATGATTGTTATGTTCGATTGACTTGTATCGAATTTCACGGCTCACATTATTGTAGGACGCCGTCGCCGTCGCCCAGCAGTACGGCGTGACAAACAGATTTTTCAATACAAGCCTCGCGCTTTCTCCACAATGATGGATGGGTGACCGGCCTATAACCTATCCGTTAACAGTTAACTATTGCTGCAAATCAAATTACTGACGTGTTTGTCATTGTCGCACTTACGATCTTTTTGGCTGATGTGAAGAAAAGTATTTTATTTCGTGTGGTCCATTACTATCTCATGTAACGTAAACAGTTTGACTAATGAGTGAGGTGACATTGAATTCTTATTCTTTTTGGTCATACAATAATCAAAAGTAAAGTCTATCTTATTTTGGTTTAAGAAATGAAAACTATAAAAAGCTCTTAATGTCGTTATGATAAATTCAATGTCCCCACAACCGCAGCTACAAACTAGTTATTAAATTAAAACAAACATTATAAAGACCATATAAAATTACAAATCTATCAATGAACCGCTACGAAAGTTGCCAGTCCGATTACTTTCGATTTCCTTCTTCAAATTAAACGACACAAAGGGGCAACGTTCTATTAACTGTTCAATAGTATGATGCATTGATTCGGAATGTAATTATAATACAAGAGTGTTGCCATACGTGGGCATTCTTGTTTCCACTGGAGAACATAATAATGATAAAGTCGACGTGTTAGCATACAATGGAGCCGTCGACGCGACTGACGTATTATTGGGTCACCGGTTCGAATCGCTTCTTATTATAATTATCGTCACGGATTATGTTTCTATGTGACATTTCCAGTTTGACAGAATCGGTACAAATAAAAGGAATCAGATCGTTTGAAATATTCATGTATTTCTGTGTGAATCGAGTTTGTATGCAAATATAAAAAAAACTACTTGCGTAGCTAATTTAAACATATTTCTATTATAAAATGAATTAAAAAGTCGACTCTATACCTTTAAATTCACCTTATAGCCTTGTTAAAATCGAGCTCTAGGAACAAATTAATGTGACAACAATGATTATAATTACATAAAAGGAAACTGACCCAAATCTGTTTAATCTGTTTGTAATACAAATGAATTTTACGCAAAGTACCGTTAAATTAAATACGGCAACAGAACAAGAATGCGGTTGGAACGAGTTTTAAAAGTAACGAGAGCATTTCAAACTACTGGGAAGAATTCGTTTGATAGAGCTCAAATGTTTAATTGATGTACGTTTCTTGAAGACCCGATGAGTCCGAGCTTATGCCGCTTTTGAACGGGCAAGTTTACTTGCTCTGAGGGTGTGTATGTACCTACTATTTTTATTTGAAAATGGCGGTAATGGTAAGCGGTATGTCCTAGTTCGTCAAGACAGACTTCGCTTTGTTTTGCCTTGTTGGCAGAAATTTGCCACATAATCGATTGATTAAAAAAATGAACGTATCTTCGTTGATGTCTCAAATTAAACGTCTTAAACGTATTCGTCAACTTCTATATTTCTTAGTTAAAACTTTGTTACTAATAAATCTTGTATTCACACACAATACAACACAATTCAATCAAAACAAATAAATGATTAACTAACTTGCTTACTTACTGTTTAATAATTCAAACGGGGCACGCATCACAAGTCCAACAATGGCTTAATGATTGATACGTTGTCATTTAGCAACAATGTAGTTTTTACATTGATTCATGTGCGATATTGATTATTTGTTACAAGTATAACACGATCGTTATTTCACAATTATCACAACGTTAAAATTCCATCATTTATTAGGATATATAAAAATTATACAAATTCCTGTACTTAATATTAGACGTAATCACAAGTTAATAAACATGCTTTTTCGATACCTATCACGGTGTGACATGAAATATGTTACTAAAAGCATTCATAAACTGATGTTAATTAAGTTCCGGAAAAGAATACGAATCGAATGATTTTTCATTTTAATAAATCAGTCAAGATTTTACAAGATTACAAATGGACATACTCGTACATACCCGTGAAAAACATCCTTCTTGTCAGTCGGGCAAAAGCCATCAATTGCTAGACTGATAGATGAATCAGCGGTGATTTTAATGAGGCTAGACAGCAGATAGATTTACAGCGGTATTGAAGACGACGGCGGGATGCAGGTCTCAAGGTTACTACAACTTACAGATGCAATCTATTGTTTATGATCGAGTATAGTGTATTAAAAGTAATAGTTTTTTTTTCTTAAATAAGTAGCTAAGTAATATGTACCGGTCTTCATTGTGCTTCACGACACATGCCTTCTATGTAATAAATGGTTATACGTCTTTTATTGCAGTGTACCAAAATTCTGAAACCTTTAGCATCAATAACTTGTAAATCTTGCAATCTTTAGTGTATTATTATAATGCATTTTCTATAAACTATCTGTTTAATTAAACCTTTTTTTGGAATGTTTTTATAATTGTAATGTGTAATTGTTGCAGGAGCTAAAGGAGAGCTTCAACTATGGTCTGTTCTGCCCGCCGGTCAATGGCAAGGCGGGCAAGTTCCTGGACGAGGAGAGGCGCCTCGGCGATTACCCCTTTAACGGCCCTGTTGGATATCTTGAGGTAACGTCTGACTTGAAATAAAAAAAACAATAAACCCACTTAATTTAAATCGCATTCATTAATTACGATGTAGTTATTTAATGATATGTCTCTTGGTCATTAATCATACTTACATAATTTAAAACTAGCGCACTATCCTAAAGATAAGCATTTTTGTTTTATTCGTTGTATAACAATATTAAATATAGACTATGTTACTTAAGGATAATATAGAACTTTCATCGTAATTGAATTCTTGTAATCGGCTAATTAGTTTTTGAGTTTATTCGTTACAAACACATTTCGTTTTCAAGGTCACTTTAAGGCGAAATAATTCAGCTGTTATAATATAACCATATTAATCAACAAAATGTTTAAAATTTTCAGTTAAAGTACAAACGTCGCGTGTACAAGATGTTGAAGTTGGACGAGAAGACTCTGAAGACGGTGCACTCGCGCGCCAACCTGCGCCGCTTCCTCGAGCATGTTGCGCACGCGCAGCTCGACAAAATCACCAAAGCCTGCGCCAAGGGACTAGACCCCAACTTCCACTGTCAGGATACCGGAGGTATGTCGTACTACAATTCTTACATATAAAAAAAAACAAGAAATTCTACGACACTTTCCGCCAACAAAGCATTAGCTGGTATAGTTTCAGCCGCCTAGGACTAACTGCCGCACTTAGACTATATATATATAGATAAGAGGTTCCCGTATTTCCTTAAGTGTCGATTTTCAACTAAATCTACACTAAGAGCCCTTCACTCCCTTGTTTAGCTACCAATATACGTCTCTAGGAACAGTCAATTATTACAAGAAAAAAAAATTAATTTATCAAATAGCGTGATGTTACGTTTGTTGTTTAGTATATCGTAATATTACACTAAAAGCATTATCAGCCCGTTTTGGTATAGTAGCTTTAATAAAGTACCATTATGTATGTACCAATAGCTTATCTTCCATTGTTCTATGTGTTTTGATATTACCAACCTGCTACGCATTAAACAAAGCTATTCTGCAAGGCAATATGGTTCGTATTTTTAAACACAAACAGTTTATAATCAGTTAAAAATTAAAAATTATACACAAAGTACGGTATTGTAACGTCTCGCTGTTGTAAGAAGACCGTGGATAATTGTCGATAAATGTAGAGCGGACCTTGAAATTAAGCGGAATAATAAACACCTTAGTTACGGTAACATTCATAAACATAGAGAATTATTATTTCTTTTTTAGCCTATTGAAACTTTACATTTGATTTCATTATAATACAGGAAATAAAAACATAAAAATCTTTACATTTATTACAGAAACGCCTCTAACCGTAGCAGCGGGTATCAAGTCTCCTGCCAAAGTTCTTATAGCACTCGTCAATGGCGGAGCCCTTTTGGACTACCGAACAAAAGATGGCAGCACCGCTATGCACCGGGCAGTCGAGAAGAACTCTCTAGAAGCAGTCAAAACCCTGCTCGAACTCGGAGCTTCGCCTAATTACAAAGATAGCAAGGGACTAACGCCACTATATTTGTCTGTTACGAATAAAACGGATCCTTTACTATGCGAAACATTGCTGCATGATCACGCAACAATTGGGGCAACGGATTTACAAGGATGGCAAGAAGTACATCAGGTAAATTATATATTTTAAGATCTCTTTTCCACTAGCTCTATTAGCGGCGGAAAGCTGGCTAGTCATAAATTAAAAAATAAGTACTTAAACACATGATTTCCATATCTATTCCATGTAAAGCAGTATAATACCAACCAACTTTTATGGCTCGTATTTTGGTATGAGACGATGCGCATAACATTAATTATTTATCGACGGAATGCAGTAGAGGTAGATAAGTTTTCTTTTCCCGCCCATTTGACCCCGTCATACAAACAAACAAACTACCAAAAACTTGGATCTTATAATACTGCAATATATTTACAGGCTTGTCGCAACGGTCTTGTGCAACACCTCGACCACCTTCTGTTCTACGGCGCGGATATGAACGGCCGTAACGCGTCCGGCAACACGCCGCTCCACGTGTGCGCCGTCAACGCACAGGACTCCTGCGCACGGCAGCTGCTCTTCCGCGGCTGCGACAAGGAGTCCCTCAACTTTGCCAACCAAACTCCTTATCAGGTCTGGCTCTAAAGCAAGCTACTTACTCACTTTTGTATTTTTTTGCAAAAATTTTAGTTGTCAAGCAAGACAAAAGTACTAAGACTTCCCATAGTGTCGGGAGTTTTGATTAGTAAAATTTTGTAGATTGCATGTACTTACATTTATTAAAAACTTTTTCATATTATAATCTAACAAAACAGTATTATTAAGTGAAATTAACGATTTTTCTGTTAAATTTCAGGTAGCCGTAATAGCTGGAAATTTAGAATTGGCAGAAGTGATAAAGAACTACAAAACCGAAGAAATCGGTGAGTTTTACTTATCATATTATTCTGCATGGCTTTGCTGCCGCTTTATATAAATAAAATTTAATTGTTTTTACTACAGATTGTATTACAATACTAGATTTTTATTTGTATACGCAGCTGCTTTTGCATTACAGTATGTTTAAAGTGAAATAGTATTATTTACTATTATATTTATGTTTATTAGATCTTATATATGTTATTAAAAGCATACATTCATAACATACATCGCATGTCTTCATTCATTATCTATATCTTAACTTTTAGCTGACTCTCTTAATTCCATCGTTTTCTACAATGGTGATGGTTGTATATATATTACTACATTAAGTTTATGATATAAATAACACAAATAAACATTGTTAAAATCATCGAATACCAAACTCACACATATACTGTGTTGTATTATTCAGTTTTATTTTATTACAAATTAATTAATTTCAATATTGTTTAATGTTTTGACGTTACGGTTTGGTTTAAGTTTTTGTTCGTCGCACGGTTATCTGATTTCCCTTGGTTGATTCCTTAACAATTGATTCGAATTCCAATCATTTTATTTCGATAATTTACCCCGATTTTAATTTACATGAGGTTACGATTGGTTATCGCACTTTATTAGTTTTTCGGTGGCTAACGAAACTCTTTCAGTGCCGTTCCGCGGTCCGCCGCGCTACAACCCGAAGCGGCGGTCTGCGGCGTGGGGCGGCTGGTGGAGCGCGGGGGACAGGACCTCGCTGGCCTCCTCCACCAGGATCCCCGCAGAGCTGGACGCGCTGCTGCGGCGGCCGCCCATCTCGACCAGCTCGCCCTGCAGTCTTGACAGACCCTTCTCATCCGCCTCCTCCAGCATCAGTGACGCCAGCCACCCCAGTCACGAGGACGATGCCAGTATCCTCACAGGTAACCTCTCGGGACGACCGGACCCGCGCGACCTCTTGGTGACACTGTGACAACCATCACCATGCACTCTCATACATCCCAAGGTCATACCGTTGCATGTTCTATGTTTTGTTTCGATTAGATGTTTTCATGTTTATCACGATCCGCTTCATCGCTTCCATACCTTTCGGATGCGTTTCGATACTAAACTGTTAAGTTTCCCGCCAACCTGAATGAATTCTTAGAATTATGTTGTCATGATAAGATTACTTAGAACTGTGAATTGTACTAGTACCATTCAGTTCCGACTGTGTTACGCTCACGTGACACGCTACGACCCAGTCCACTCCCATTGTCGTGTTATCCTACAAAACCACAAGCACTTTTGAGCTCTATAAAACATTTATAATGGTATTGTTAGTTTGTATTATTATTCTATTCAAAGCTCAAGAATAACGATATTTTGTTGTAATTACTTCTAATACAAAGGTAAGAAGTGATCTTCAATTTATGAAATCGGTTTTATATGTCGGTATACTTGTAAAATTAATAAGGATTCGAATAAATGATCCTAATATTTTTAAGTCGTTAAAACAATGGAGGGTACAAATCAGCACTTTTATGACGTGTAGTCGTCGTTAGTGTTGATCCGATGGGCGGTGAAGGATGGGTAGCGCTGTCGGCAGATAAAAGCGGCGGGGAGGCCAGCGACGTGGTCTCGGAGTCGAGTGGCGTGGGCACCAGCGCGTCCGACACAGGCAGCGCGCCGCCGCCGCCGCCGCCCGGCGCCACCGCCGTCTGTCTGCGGCCGCACGACCCCGCCGCGCCCGGACATTTGCGTCTCGCGCAGGGAGACATCGTCGAAGGTAACGCGATACCAACATATCAGGCAAAGCCCGGCCACAGCCTCACCTGCCCCAGCCCCTGTCACATCGACATAGATCTACGCAACGTATTATATAACAAAAAGGTTCGATTGACCTAACTAAAGTACACGGTGTAATAGCGCAAACAAAATATATATGAAACAAAGCTGTAAAAGATAAACAGAGTGTAACATTATAACGCTTAACAGACATAATCATGCATGGCACTGTCGATGTCAAAAAATTGGGTGGAATATTAGAAACGTTGTATTTTTTTTTCTATTTAATTGATATTCCTCCAAACGTTTTTGACTATACTTCAGCACCTAACTGCATAAGTTATCATTTTGTGGTAACATAACGTCACTAACTGTCTGGAGAGAACTAATGAATTTACAGATGCATCTAATGTAAGTGCAAAAATAATCCCACCATAGTTTGATGTCTTTTTTTGCCTATTGTATGATATTTTGTATTCGTCCTAAGTGCATTATTAAGGGTCAAAATAACTTCCACAGTAACGGGGTGTACAGAGGACGGCATGCTGGAGGGCACAGTGCGAGGGTCTGGCGCGAGCGGCATGTTTCCCGCGCATTGCGTCCAGGAGGTGCGCTTGCGCCAGAATACGGCGCATTTACATCAGGTAACACTTTCTTTTATGTCACTTTGTTTTTGAAAATCAATCAACAAACTCTAATGAGGTCTTTCTGAACTGGGCCGTGTATGTTATTGTAGAATCATTTTGGGTTCAAGGTGTCCTTTTGCCGTTTTGTTCATGTGTATTTTTGCATGGAGCAAAATTTAAATTGTTTTGAGGGTCTTATGATAAGTATATTTACATTCTTTAGGGATGTTTATAGCCTCGTACTAAGTTAGGTGATAAGAGTTAAATATATACATAACGATGACAAGGTTATCTGCATTTAAAATAATATTGACTTTCCAGGTGCTGTCGTCGGGGCCCATGCACCACTCGCGAGTGTCGGGGCGCCGCGATATGGCGCTCAGCAAGACTTACAGCGCCACCGCACCACGGATAAAGAAGAAGTATTAATAATATTAAATTAATAAAATATAACTCGCTTTCACGTCTGTTTGCGGCCAACAGGGTAAATGAAATAACAACTTTGAACGTTTGTCATTTGGAACACAGAATCGAATGATATCTTCTTTTGAAAGTTCACTTAAACACAAGTCGACGATTGAGTCGAACCAGAATACATTACTGAGAGAGTTTGTTATTCGGTAGTCAAACAACAATCTTAGCCTCTTACGACAGTCGTATTTTGATACAATGTTACACATTTCGTGAATGATTCACGTTAATATTATTATGCGATGTTGTAAACATAACGTAGTTTACAAACACGATTCGCGCGAAGTAGTCGCCCGCGCGAGCATTCGCGACCAATGTGCGTGGCGACGAGCTCGTTCCGTGGCTTTCTATACAACTGCGCGCAGCACTGCGCCCTCGGGACCACCACATGGCTCTGCACGCAACCTGTATATCGAAAGCCGTCAGTTTTATTGTTTCAATTGTGTAAAAATATAAAAAAAGATTGTTGCCTGACACCTATTGTTGTTTTATTAATGATCACAAAGGGGTAATATTGAAACACGTGTAATGATTGTTTATTAGTTACGGCAACATGGAGACGCGCACGGTGGTGCTGCACCGCGCGCGGCGGGGCTTCGGGTTCGTGCTGCGCGGCGCCAAGGCCAGCTCGCCGCTCATGGAGCTGCGCCCCTCCGCGCGCTGCCCCGCGCTGCAGTACCTCGACGACGTCGACGCCGGCGGAGTGGCTGACCGCGCCGGACTGCGCAAGGGCGACTTCCTTATCGCGGTAATACATTACAACGCACTCATATCATCATCTTCCTGTTCTTATAATATAACGATATATATATATACTTTTATACAAAATTCATAAACTGCAGCACATTCGTGCCATGAAAGTGGACGCTTTTACTAACAATTGTAAACAAATGAACAAGTGATCACATTTTATGACTGCAGATAAACGGCGAGGATGTGTCCGCGGCGTCGCACGAACACGTGGTGGAGCTCATCCGCAGCTCCGGCGCGCTCGTCTCCATGACCGTCGTCTCGCTCGCTAACAACGGTAACCTTCCTACCTACCTTCATACAATAACAAGCTCGTAACATGTTACAAGTTTAAGTAAATATTGTTAAAGTAGTATCAGTAAAGGAGTTGTGTATACATAGAGTTGTCGTCAGGTGCGGGTGCAGGGGGCGGGGGTGCGGGCGCGGAGGGCGGGGCGTGTGCGGTGCCGACCAGTCGCTCGCAGTCGCAGCTCAGCGCGGCCGCACGCCCCTACGCCGCCACACTGCCGCGCAAGGCCGCCGGGGGTGCGTCTTATGTCACAACTACTGTTCATGCCTATTCAATGTCTAAACTTGCTTATAGTTAACTGATAACGTGTATTGTGTGCGCAGGTCGCAGCCCCGCGCCCGCCCCGCCGCGCCGCGACCCGCGCACCACGCTCAGTGTGGGCCGCGCGCGCGCCAAGTCCATGGTGGCGGGATTAGGTAACTTTACCTACTTTGTCAGCTGGATAGAAGGCCAGAAAAATCAAGTGACGACTTCAATGTACTGTATAGCACACATCTTGTAATAGATTTCTCACTTTTTATAGAAAATGGTGGAGAGAAAGAAGAGACGTGTGAGCCGCTCAGCGCCGCCGCCAAGTCCTCCTCGGCGGAGTCCGTGCAGCTGCACTCCAACAGCAATAGTAAATAACCTCAATCAGTACTACATCTAGATCAATAACAAAAAAGTAAGCTTTTCTATTAGAGAATGATTTTAAATATTTAATGTTTGTGCAGACGGAACTCCAGTGCTGGGCATGTCGAGCACCGTGGGGGGCGGGGCGGGAGGCGGGGCCGGGGGCGGGGCTCGCACCGCCTCCATCCGCGCTCGCCCCGCCTCCGGCCGCATCACCGCCGCCGAGCTCGAGGAGCTATTCCAGCGGCAAGCGGACGCCGACGTAGACCTCGACACCACGTTAGTGTACACCGTTGACATCTAGTTATAACATTGTAATCTCTTTTCTCTTCAACAACTAATAAATAAGCGATTAATATGTGTAGCGACGCGGGGTGCGGCATGATGACGCGCTCGGCGTTCCAGGGCGGCACCGCGTCCCCGCAGGGCTCGCCCGCGCGCCCGCAGCGCGTCTACACCTCCGTCGCCGACATGAAGAGAAGTCGGGCTAAGGTACACCTCACAATACTCCTAGCGTTCTAATGAATTTGCGGATTTTCATATAATTCGCAGATGTTTCTTAGGTGATAATAAAAAAAGTGTTTTTTTCATCCACAGCTGTGGAGCAAGTCTGGATCGCTACGACGAGACTTTCACTCGACGCCGGATCTGGCGGCCGAGCTGGCGGCGCGGCCGGCGCGCACGCGCTCCAGTGACGACGTGCACGGTAACCGCTCCACCATATTCTTATATCTAATTCTAGTAATCCATTAATCAAGTGAGGTTTGAATAGGGAGAGCAAAATTGCAAAAATTTACGAAACGACGTGTCACGAATAGGGCTGGCTAAAAAACGTAATATTACTTTGGAAGGGGTAGGTTAAAAGTCTGGAAGTCAAAAACCGCTCATGAGTAATGGACGACACCTAAGCGTCATACGGGCCCCCGAATTCAGTTAACATAGTAACCAGTAAACACCTTGCCCGCAGCAGTGGGCCGTGCGCCGCCCCCCGCGGAGGCCCCGCCCCCGCCCCCGGGAGCGCCCGCCTCCTCGTTCCGGCCCAGCGCCGCCGCCAAGCTCTACGCCTCGCCGCAGGAGCTGGCGCGCGTCGCATACCGCCCCGCCGTGCCTACAGACACGCAGGTTAGCACATGCATTATAATCGTTACAGAAATTAAACCGTTCTTAATGCAGATAAGCTCACATAATTTAGAATTGGAACAATAGTAATAAGCTAGGCATTACTAACATAGTATGTATGGTGTAGTCGCGCAAGGGCACGCTGCGGTCGTGGGCGGGGCGCGCGCAGTCCGCCGACGACGCCTCCCACCAGTACGCGCAGCCTTTCAACCTGCACAAGCCCTTCGTGCGACAGGTATTGCCTCTCGTCTTATAATATTCTGTGCTTCTCCGATTCATTGAGTCTTGACAACACCAAGTACTGCATTAAAAAATTCTGATTTTCGACTATTATAATACAATATCTTTTATTCTACAGTTTTGGTAGTATCACACTGGTCGATATAATAGGCAAATTTTTGTCCGTAGAATTCAACGCCCGCGCCTCCCATTCCCGAGCCAGACTACAGCATGTCGGAATCGGAGGAGGAGGAGGAGGGCGCGGATAAGCCGGCGGAGACCGGAGCAGAGACCAGCGCCAACAGCAACGCCAGGTATACATACCACGCAGTGTTGCGGCTGCATCGCCCTTTAAACACTACCATAAATTTTACTTTAACAAAATTGCAATAGGCGGTACAAATAGTCATAATTTCACTTCCAGGCTGACAGAATACGTGACTATCTTTGAGACGGAGGGAGAGGTGTACTGTTAGAGTAATAGGGATGACATTCGCAAGGTACAGTCAGCTGCGAGCGATAACGTGACCGTCTTGTTGAGTGTGGGAGCATCCGCTTCGGGGACCTAATCATCCATTATAAACTTGTGTCGTTTTTACTTCGATATAGCAATTTCACCCACATCTGCAAATCTTTTGAGTCTTTCGTTTTGTAGCTTTGTGTTTGTTTCGAATTGAACACCGATCTTATTCTTTCTTCTTAGAACTTATTTTCGTATCGACCGTTTCAGCGGCAGCAGCTCCGGCTCGGGCTCGATGCAGCACTCGTTCTCCGTGGACGAGATCCAGAAGATCCGCACGCGGCTGAAGTCGTCGCGGTCGTGCGGCGACGAGGTGGGCGAGCGCGACGACGGTGACAACTCCTCCTCCGGCGTGTCCTCCGACCAGGAGGCCCAGGCGCGCCCGCGCCGCGACAAGGTCTCCTTCTGCACCTCCGTCACCGTCAAGTCCTCCAACGACGTCATCAGCACCGAGCCCGTGCACAGCTCCTCCGAGAGCCTCGCACCCATGCAGCGACATAACTCGCTGACGAGGAAGCGCGCCACGGCGCTGCTCCGCGGCGGTGTAGGCGTGGGTGGGGGCGGAGCGGGAGGCGCGGGGCGGGGCCGGTCCGCCGCCGAGCGGCTGGGCGTGGACGTGGGCAAGGCGCCGGGGCGGCGGGCGCGGGCTGCGGTGTCGCTGGCGGAGCTGCCGCCGCCGCCCGAGGAGCCGGCGGGAGCGCCGGACGCCGCGCCGCTGATCGCGCCGCCGCCGCAGTTCAGCGACCGCGTGCGCGTGGTGGCCGCGCTGCCCAAGCTTGCACATTTACATTAACTCATCACATCGTTTCTCTCTGTATAAACTACTCTGTGCATGAGGTGACGCGAGGTGAGCGCGACCTCGGCCTCCACCACGTTACCACAGTACTCTGACGAGCTGTCTTTCTTTTTATCATGGTACTCTCTGTAACTCGCCATTGCCAGAATTATTTTTGCTTTTTTCTTTACCTGTGCATAAACTGTCTAAACTGCACGTTCTACTGGTTTTTCCGATAAAATACGGAAATCTTACTTGAACTAGAACTCTCTGTTTGAGAGCCCCATGTGAAGCCTTAACTTTAACCAAACTTGATAGACCTATTTTAACCGCTTGGAAAAAATAAAAAATATACATTCATAGCCACGGCTGTCAAAATGGGCCTGTTATTTTGCAACGACATAAATTAGCAACAAACTGTTAAAATGTAATATGTTGATGCCGAACATAAATAATATCTTCTGGTTCGCGTACAACAATCGATCAGCTTTGCTTTTCCTTTCACCTACAGCTTGTACAGAGTAGAGTGTGGTGTATATCAGAAGGCAAGGCACGCGGTCGAGCTCACGTCGTGTGTTGTGCCAAAACAATTCCAAATTTATCGTCACTAATGTAAAAGTATCGCACTTCTCCGACGTCTCGTGAGCGTTCCGATAGATGTTATTGTTACGAGCCGTAGTGTTACGTGACCTCACACGAGCGCGCTGCGCACGCGTTCTCTTGCGAAACGAATAATTGTATAATCGAGAACTTTTTGTATTCAATCGACTAAATGAAACCAAAGATTTATAGTATTTATTGTTGAGGATTTAACATTTTGATATAGTTGAAAGTAATTTTTATACATTCCCTTACTGACTAGTGGTAATAATTATTTCAATGCATGATAACCCATCGCCCTGTACTTGTATAATCGATTGTTTTTTTTTTATGTTTCGTGTATGGAATCTTCTCCGATGTGTCAAACGTAAATTTTATATAATATTATCGATTTCATTGTGAAATCAATTTTTAGATTTTTCTATTACTTTACGACGCAACCGAGTGCCATCGTGTCTATTAATTTAAAGTATTTTTATATATAATATACTATTTGTAAATATTTGAGAGCTATTTGAGAAGAGGTTAAAAGAGTGGGCCAGAGGCGAGCAAACAAAAATACATCCGGCCAGCTGAAACGATATTATAAAAATATTATTTATGAAGATATAAACACAGTATTTATAAAATATATCTTTAAAATGTGTTGAAATGAAATAACTTAAGTTAGTTTATTTAATTCGTCCAATGCGATGTGTGGTCGGTCCACTCTTTTGACCCGCGCACTTCGTTGGAACCTTGTAAAGGCAGACTCGCTTCACGTTGCAATGCTTAAATATTTCATCCGTTCCATTACATTGTAATTTTCATCAGGTCAATTTATTGTTCCACAAACCTTTTATTAAAATACATTTCTTTAAATTCAAAAGATTCGTAATTATTTCTTGATGAAAAAATATCTTTGTTGTTGCAGCTGGCAAGTCATAAATAAATATATATATTTTTTTATCTGAATGTCATAGGGTTGTGCAACAATGAATTGAATTGTCGATTTTTTTTCTCATCATTTTAATGCTATAAAAATAATTGGTGTTCTATTTGATTGTTATTGCATAATTTTCATTTATATTCAATTAAAAAGTTTTTCTATTAAAACCTTAATTTATAAAAAATGTAGCAAAACAATATTTAAAAGAAATTGTAGCATAGAATAAATCTTATTGCTTTTTTGCTCAAAAAAGCTCGAAGATTTTGTAATTGAATTTTTAAAGCATTTTGAAGTTGCAAAATTTTATTCTAAGTCTAGAAATAACATTTTTTTATATGACATGTAAATTCATGGACAGTAGTCTAGTATTCGGTCAAAAAAATAGATTCTAATAGGAAAACTTTTTCTTTTCATTCTGTATGCTCGCGTAGTATGAAACAAAGCTGCTTATACATTCGGGATATAGCAATTAAAATTAAGTTAGAATTATCTATTTGAAGTAATTAAGCGTGTCACAATTTGTATTATTTTATTGAATAATTTGTTTGTACCAGGTGAAACTTTGTCTACTGACATAGCAGTTCATGTTTTGAGAAACACATAAACAGAATAAAATGCATAAGGATTGGATCGAATTTTATTATTTATTAAGAAGGTATGTTTGGTAGATCTGTGAAACCGTTTGATATTAATGCAATTTTAATAGCTTCTATCCTATATTTCGTTGGACAGTATTTACTGATATAAAATTGATTAAAAATTGACGAAAACTTGTTGTTTAAAAACGATGTTCCCACGCACATCCTAATTAACAATTTTACGATTAGTATTCTATGATGTTACAAAGTGTATCTTGTGTAACACGAGTCGATCCGTTGTGTTGAGGATGGATGTTCATCCCCTACCCCCACCCCTCGCCCGCACTTAACCACGCCCTCCTCGACCTTCGCCCCTCACCCCTCGCCCCTCGCCCGCACTGTTTCCTTAGCACAATTTAATATTTTTATTATTATCAATGATTGATGTATTACGATTACGTTATCTTCTTGTCATTAAATTAAGTTGTATAAATGTATTGTCTAATTAAGGCATAGATAGGTAGTGGTAAATATATTAGCGCAATATTCGACGACTTTAGGGTTACTGGCAACACTGGAGCCGTTATAGTGTTGTGTTGATTGCTGAATTTTCATTTTATTATTATATATATTACAAAAATATTTCCAGCTTTGTATTTAGCTTGATCAATTATGTATAACTGTTATCTCTGCATTTATATTGTGTTTATTTATTTTTATTATGTCTGTATAAATTGTAAAAACAAATATGGCATGTATTTTTGTTGGTATGTTTTTAAATCGTCGATTTTGATATGTAAATTAAGCAATCAAGCGACACGCGAGCAGCTGCTTTCTTGTGTTGTACAAACAATTATTGTGTTTCATATTTCATTTGAATCTCAGTATCGGCGTGTAACTACAACTTGGTATACTTTCAAATGAAAAAATAAATGTTTCATCACTCTAATGTTTTATTTTTAAACTGCCACTGCGATACCCAAATCCTTACATTAAAGCAATAACTGTCAGATAAAGTTAGGAAAAATATGCGTGGTAAGTCTCGTAACAAATAAAAATCATTCAAATTTTTTCACGTTTTCAAGTACAGGCCGCCGTTCTCCGGACAAGCGAGACTACGCTTGTGACCCCTAAGAATTAATTCAGAAATTATAAACGCAATTATTCGGTAAAAGTTAGAAACTGCGCCTACGGGAAAGGCGTTAATTTACGTTTTACCGTGGCTCGTCAACCTAAGACCATACGTAATCTTATGATCCCCTCGTAAATTCATTAATAAAAATGAACGTTAACTGAGTAGAATATGTATAATAATTACTAATCGTTCAAGTTCTCATAAAATTTCTTAAATAAAAAAACAATCATAAGAACAAATCACTTTTGCGCCGTCTATTTTCTTTTTAAATAAGTATACAACATGTTATACCACGCGTGAGGAAGAGAGACAACATTATTTACAATTAGAATCCGATCAATACGCACTAAAACACAGGAATGACGGGCGCTTTCTGCTAGAAATATCGATTTACCTCGCGACTCAACATGTCGATGTCCATCACTAGTGATGTGTTTCGCTTCTACCATAAACTACTCCAATTCATCAAATTGTAAGTAGCCAATACAAAGTGTCTTTGAGAATTGAGTTACGATATGTGTTGCAAGTCAAAGATTGAAAATAAATTTAAATTTTTAGGTTATGACGTCCTGATTTTTCGTGCTTTAATCATGACTAGAATTAAAATATCGTGTTGGCAGGCAAACCATTTTTCGTAAAATTTAAGCTCAGAGAAGTTTAGAGCTAATAATTTCTTAAAACTTTAGTGTTTTTTTTAGATTTAGTCGTTCATGACCAGTGACTTTTTTTTATAAATAATGTAGATATATATAAATATTAAAACAGAATTCTAGGGAAATCTTTAACAGAAACATGGTAACACTAAATTACGAAATGCTACTTGTATCTTTATTGAAAGTGAACAATTGGGTTGTTGCTTAATTTATGAACATTCCTATATTTTCTAAAACAAGACAGAAATGTTTCATCAAAAAATATTACATAAAACAATCGAACTTTGTGGTCGCACATATCGATGTTAAGTGCAATTTTACAATAACATCGATATTTCAATTAAGCCAGTGTAAACACTAAAATTCAATACCTTTGCTTTACCTTCGTATTGCATTCTAGATGTTTTGTAAGAGCAGAGGTGCAATTTGCATTTGAATAGAAAATTGATATGCTCTAATAAAGAAAATAAGAATAATATTGTCAATATTTTGTTTATCTAGTGCTTACAGTTGAAATGATATTTTTGTTGTGTAAATGTTTCTTGTTTGTTCTTATTACGAGTTTTGCTAACGCTTGGTATCGATTCATTAATCCGCTCCCTCCCCGCATCCTGACCGCCCAGGGCGCTTCTAAAATCCTGCGCAGAGAAGCTTCCGAAAATAATTGGTAAATATTTGATGAATTACATGACAAAGACAATCTAGTTATTTGTTGCTTCTTGAGACTAGTACAGTGATCGGGAATTTAGTTTTATTAATCTATATCTGAATGAGATTTTAAGATATTGGTGATTTTTATAACAGACGAGAAAAATGTTTTACTTCCGAAAGTTTAAATAATTTTACATGGATCACAATTATTATAGTGGTAAATTGTTTTCACAGATGATGCAGAACTACGTAGGTGGAGGTGGCGGCAGGTGGCGCATCGGGCGCCGGGAGAAAATGGAGATCGAAGAAGCGCTTGAGGCTGCGCTGCCCGGATCTTCGCGCTCCAACTCGCGTTCCCGCCCGCGCCCCGGCATGGCGCTGCAATCCGTGGCGAAGGCAAACATTTGTGTTGTAAATTATATAGATACCGGATTTTCGCCGGTTAAGGTTAATTTAAAATTAAAATTACGATGGTAACAATGCGTGTTCACCTTACAATGAACTGGGAGCGCTCTTTTTTGTATGTTTTACCTTTGAATTATTAATAGCAATGCTACATAGAAATATTTGTTCGACATTTTTGCGTTTTTAAAGCTGAGCGAATGTTAAAATATGTTTCGGGGTCGAGCTCGCTGGCTATGCGGATGTCGTATATACTTGCGTTTGAATCCACATTTACTTTTAAGTTAAATTATTTAAAAGTTATGAAAACGAAACACGATATGGTCACAGCGGATGCGCATGGCGAAGGGTGGCGTGGCGGAGGAGAGCGACGACAGCCGGTCGGATGAGGATGTGGCGGCATCCATTCGCTTCGCGGCCCTGCCATCGCGGGCGGGCGCGATGCCGCGGTACCCGGGGAGGGCGCGCAGGACCTTGCGGCCCACGATGCGCGCCCGCGACGTGGCACGCGAGGCGGCGCGAGTTGCAGCGGTGGCTGCGCATCGCTCCGTGCCCGAGGCGGCCGACTACGAAGACATCGATATTGTGGAGTACGAGTTCTTGTTCGCGGGCGAGGGCGAGCCACCCCGCGACATGCAGGAGTCCCCGCCGCCCGGCGCGCCCGGTCCGCGCCGCCTGCAGCCCGCACCCGTTGTAAGATGATACCCACTCATTCTGTACTTAATGTGGTATTGTGCGGCCTCGCAGTATTCGAGGTGGCTTGATGCTATGAGTCGATGCAGAACGCGGTGGTGCGCACGCGCGCGGAGGAGGAGGAGCGGCGGCGGCTGATCCGCGCGCAGCTGGCGACGCTGCTCCACGCGCACGAGTGCCGCGCCGACGAGACGCGCCTGCGACACGCCATCTGGTACTGCAACGTGCCCAGCTGCCAAGAGATCAAGTACATCCTCAGACATCTCACGGTCTGCCAGGTGCGATATTTCATAGTTATTTGATTACAAATAGTTTGATTTCCTGTAGTTGTCATCCTAGCGGCTAGTCATAGTCTAGAGCTTCAGCTAAATGCAGGTTTCAAACATAGTCGTGAAGGAGAAATGTTTACGCCGACTTGTATTATTTTAGAACCGTACCAGCTGCAAGAAGACGTACTGCGTGTCTTCGCGGCAGATCATCGGGCACTGGAAGAACTGCGAGAACCCGCAGTGCCCCATCTGTCTGCCGCTGCCCACGCCCGGCCTCGTGCGCAAAGTGCGCCGCAACAGTCAGTATACACATACTTTATTCTATCGATCTATTTACATTTGATTCATTTACGATGGGGATTATTAATTTACTCCAAACTTGTCCCGCTTTATTTGTACATAAGTACAAATACGATTGCCAGCAACTTCAATCTTACAAAAATACTTGAATATTGAAACACTCAAGCCCGCGTTATCCGGAGATCGAGGACGTTTTTTTGTATGAATTGACAACTTCGTCGTCCCGCCGTTTTTTGTTAGGAATATCCTCGATTGTCCGTGCAAAGGTATTTTTTAATATTAATTAATTATAATATTTTCCTTCTTGCAGGGGGGAGTCTGTAAGGAGATCGATTTTTTTTCGACGGGGCTGATTTGCTTTTTCTGCAGTTAACAGTCTGGATATGTGGATGAATATGAATACTTTCTTACATTTCTATACGTATATGGATGTTATTATAGACGCGTATCCCACATAATCTGTGCGCACTCACTCGATGTAGCCCTTCAACAGTTAACTATAAGCTATAGGGTAACATGTCCATTTTTCTCAACGTATTATCGGTGTTCACTTCAGTAGGTCAATACCACTTCAGGGTAAGAGAGGAGAGGATGTAAAAGAGCTGTTACGATTTTGTACTGATGTGACTTGAGTAAACAACAAGCGTCGGCGAAGTGACGAATTTGGCTTTAAATTTTTTTCTATCTGAATTTAAATGTATCTCATATCTTTGTATAATTTTGTCGACGCGTTCTAATAGAGTTGAATGGATCGTCTTAAAAATATACCTATTTTTCCCAAATATTAATCAACTTTGTAGTAATTCGATGTATTCATATACTTACTTTTAACCTTTATATACTCTAAATGTGTAGTTTAATAATAAAATGGTAAAAAAATACAAAAACAGTAGTATGTTTTATAACTTATACGTAATTATAATATTTCTGTCACAATAAAGAATAAAATTCAATTTTGTTTATTTATTCTCCTGCAATCATAGACTGGTAATAAAGTTTTCTATAACATTCAAACAAATAAAGCATGATAAAATGATAAACTAAAGCGCCTAACTGTCGGAATAGCAATAACATCTGTCAAAAATAAACCATGTTCAACATATACCTTTATTACATACAAATTTCACATATTTAAACTACAGTTAAACTGCAACATTCTTAACAACTAATGGACGGTTGATACGTTGAGGTGACAGCGACTGCACACTTATATGTCGAAGTTCTTCATATTGTTATCTCATACTTTCTCTTTGACAAAAGAGAGACAGCAATATTAGTGAAACGGCAGAAATGTTTCCCATTTTATTCCTTTGTATCGAGATACAAAGACACGTCGTCGATTTTAACAAGTCGTCTGAAGTCAACACTTTCCCCGCACATCGGACATTTCCCCTCTTCTTGGAGCAATCTAGAAATTTTATGAAAACATAAGGATGGAAATATAAATAATCAATGTTATAAATATTTAATTTAAACAAGAGCAACTTACTCAACAAACTCGGAATGTATAGCCGGGAAGTCGCACTCGGGGCACGCGGTCAGGTCTCCTTTCACGATATGCATGCCCTGAAATGAAACACGACTACGTAATTATTTCATTTTCATAATTTATGCGACAAACAATTACAAAGACTTTACGAAAATGACAACGCAAAAAATTTACAAGAGACCACCAATTTTACATTTAATTTTATACTGTTTCGCCAGTAATCGATGTTTTATATCGATACGAATATTATTTTAATTATATAGAGGACAAAAAATGGTTGAAATTAGAATGAAGTATACTGTGGCGATGCAGAAGGGCAGCTCGGCCTCGCAGCGCGCGCAGTGCAGCTCCGCGGCGGGGAGCGCGGCCCCGCACTGCGCGCACGCAGCCGCCGGCTCGGGGGGCGCGGCCTCGCGCGGGGCGTGGCGCACCGCTGACTCTATCTTCTTTGCGTACTTCGGATCTATCTGTATAAAACGTTAAACAATATTATTAGGAAATGTGGAAAATATCTAAGATTTTTTTATTTGTTATGTATATACAAGCAGGTAACCTGGGAACGGTATTCAGGCTGCATGAGAACGCGCGCCCAGTGATGCGCCTGGTGCTTGAGCCCCGCTCGACTGCACTCGATCACAGTTGATGTCAAAATCGACACTTGATCTGAAAATTCATATAAAATCAGCCGAACAATAATGGTTAACACACGTGATATAAACGTAATAGTAAACTAAATACTGACGTTGGTGCGTGGGGAAGAATGCGACATCGTTGGCGGTACGAAGCAGAAGCCGCGCCGCTAGCTCGTGCCGGCCGCGCTTTACGTGCGTACGGACCTAGAATTTAACAAGTTTATTGATTTATATTTTTTTTTGGGATATTTCGATTATTTCAGTAGCTTTAAGTTACGTAAATGATGTTTGAAAGAGTTAGTTGTATTATTGTATCATGAGTGTATGTAAACGAGTGAGAGGGTGTAACACATCACCAGTATGTAGGAGTGCAGTATGGCGAGAGCGGTGCGCAGGTCGCGCGGCACGGCGGCCCCGCGTGCCCGCAGCGCGCCGCACACGCCCCGCGCCACGTCGCGCGCCTCGCGGTACCGCCCCGCGCGACACTCCGCGCCCGATATTATTACCTGACACACACACAGACACATTCATTCATTCATTACTGAAAGAAGTAACTATTGGTGATTAAGCAACAACTGACGTAATTAATGAATTAAAGGTTGACTGACTAAATTATAACTATATGGAGGTGGAGTAAACAAAAGATCTTACAGCAGTTTTAGCCGCTTCGGTAAACTGTCGTTTGGCCATGTACAGTCGGAACAAATGGCGCGGATCTCGCGGCGTACCGTCCGTCTCTCCCAGTAGAAATTCTATCAATCTATGAGGAAAACAGAGTAAAATAAACTTAGAAACTCAAGATTAACTAGCAAAAGTAACATTTAAATGTTTTGTACTTATGAAATGAGAGCTTCCATTTAGTAATTCCTGGAGATATTAACTAATACATTCCTACATATTATATTACCTTCTGGTCAATCTCTCGTCGTCGCTGGCTGCGGCCGCGTCTATAGCGATACTGATGCCTTCGCTTTCTTCTTGATCAGTCCCTCCGGTCTTCAATAGGTGCGCCATCGCCTTGCCGTACTCGCCCGCGTGGAAGTAGAACTTGCCCGCTAACAGATGATTCTTCTCTCCCTCAAAGTGCAGGGCCAGACTTCTAAAGTCCTCCGGCCTCGCCTGCGAGGTCTGTATCAATATCTCTCCGTACAACTGCAGCTTCCCGTTCTTCCTCGCGAGCTGGAACGCCTCGTCGTAGCAGAGCGACATTACGAGGAACTTTATCGCGGACGTGGGATCGTCGTTGTTCTGGAAGTAGTCGGCGACCATCTTGGCGCCCTGTATCGACTTCGTCTCCTGCACCAGGTTCACGGCCTCGTCTATGTCGTCTAGCTTCTCCAAGTTGATTCTGATCGCGGCCTCGTAGTCTTGAGCTTTAAGGTAAGATTTTAAGGCGTCACTGTATCTGCCCTCCGCTTCCTTAGCTTTGGCGTACTGGAGGTGAACGCTGGGGGAGTTAATTTTGTGTATGAGCGCTTCGACCTTGAGCCAGGACTTAAGTTTAATGTAGAGCGAGGCGGCGCGCTCGGTGTTGCCGGCGCGGTCGTAGAGTGCGGCGGCGTGTCCGCAGTAGCGCTCCTCCTCCAGCAGCTGGGCGCAGTCGCGGAGCAGCGCGGGGTGGTGCGAGTGCTGCAGCGCCAGCGCCACGCCGCGCATCACGTCGCCGCACCGGATCGACATCCGCGCGACGCCCGCCTCGCATCTCACGTTGTGCTCCTTCACTTTTATATCATCTGTATTTTCTGTTATAATACTTTTTTCGTAGTTCGCGAGCGCCTCGTGATAATCTGCTCTGTGATTGCAATTCAACGAAATCTATTGTTAGGTAGAGATATAAATAATTTTGATGATGATGAACATAGTGTACGCACGTAAGTTCTAGATGTTGTGCGCGGTTGTAGTAGAGGGCGGGTGCGCGCGCCGGGCAGGCGGCCTG